ATCCTGGTATTTGTTTAATCTTATTAATTTATGTTCGTAAGATTTCATGTTACTGATTTATTTATCTGTTTTCAACCGAGTTTGTGTGTTTGTTTGGTTTAAGCTTTTATTCATTAAGACACAAATTTAATTTTTTATTCTCTGAACTATTTTAAATTTTTATATAATTGTTCTAATTCATAACTTACTTGTTTTGTGATACCATATTTATTTAAAGGAGCTACTCTGCCCTGTTAAAATTATTTAGTTGTTGGTTGTATTTAAAAAGTTTTTACTTTCGTTTTTATTTGCTTAGGAAGTCCCTGCAATTAAAATCTTTTTTCCTGGTCAAGAAGACAAAGCGTTGCACATTATACAATCAATTATTACATAAACACCAAAAAGATTTAAAAAAAACAAACAGATAACAAAATACAAAATATAATATTACGAGACGTCTTTATCAGAGCTGTGAACTGAAGCATGTAGCTTCAGCTTGTTCTGAAGGTTATTCCATGATCATTTGTTATAATTAATAATGAAATATTATTAAAGAAATTGGAGATATTTAAAATAAGTGAAAGCATTCAGAAATTACTGAACAATCGGGCAACAATTTGTGAAGATGGGAGAAGAGAAATGTGAATATTTAGAGATTGTGGGTGGCGTCCCACAGGGGTCCATGTTGGGGCCAAAGGCATTTATTATGCACATAAATGATTTATGTTAAGTGTCTGATTTGCCAACAATACAAATATCTTGGATCTGATTAGAATTTACAGCAACCTTTGAATTCGTTCACCTCAGAGATTAATAAAATATTTTATGGTTTGAAAAAAATAAGTCAGCGTTAAATCGGAATAAGACAAAAATGCTGCTATAGAAAAACATAGTGTCAACGTAGAACGTGAATTTATTTAGTCAGAAGTGGGACATGTTAACGAGCAAAGCACGTAATAAATGAGAAACATTCCTTACTGGTGCTTCTGCTTTATAACTACTTTATGACTGCTGTTTGAAATGTTGTAAAAGTGAGAAAAACAGCTGTGAACTGCTGATATTGTTGGATTTGTTGAACACACTAATTTTCTGTTCTCACAGTCAAAAACTGTAAAATTCAAAACAACACAAAAGAAAAAAATTAAGTAAAAACGAAGCTTGGAAACAAACGTTAAACAGCTGAATAGAAATACAATGATATTATTGTTACCAGGTAAGGAGACGCACAGGTGTCCAATCAGGTTCGTTTGTGAACTGCATGTTGAATACATGTGTGTGTATAGACTTGTGTATGCTTATGTATGCATACGTGAGCTGCTTAGTTCATAATTCATGTGCTGCTCCTTTTCAACAATGTAAATTTTCTGCCTATTTTTTATTACATGTTCAAAGTCAAGCGATCAATCGATCAGTCAAAGAGGAGCCGTCTAATGTGAGGCCAATCACAGCAGCAGTCTGTGAGCGTTTGCAGGGCTAAGAAGGGCGTCTCTTTATGCTTCCTGACAGCCAAGAAACCAGCCAAAGTACACAGTGATGACTGGACAACTAGTTTGACATGAAAAATAAAGACGTGTGATGCACAGTTAGACAATATGTGTAAATGATTTCACCATAATCAAGAATATTTAGGATTAACGCCTGTACAAGTGTATTCCTCTGTGGTACATTAGAAGAAGGCCGTATTTCCATAATAAAACTCAGTCTAAGTGCTCAATATGCAGACTAACGAGAAGTCCCTCCTCAGTTAAGCCTCCTCTTGGTGTATAAAGAAGGTAATGTGATTATGCATTGAATATATATATATATTGAATAAAGTTGGGTTGTAGACAGTGTGACTGCACATATCAGTAAGACTAATATAGGAAGATGGACTTTAGCTACTCTTAAAGGTCCATGAGGCTCACAACGGGCTGTCATATCATGGACCTCTGCACCTATTCTCACATTTATCCATCGGATGGGATCTTGTTGTTTTCCAGGCTTCTGCTCATTAACAAGGGGATTACAGCCGTTGGTGTTTTAAGGGTTGAATGTACCCAGACGAGCTGCTCCGAGGGTTTAGTCAGACAGACCACCATTGTGCCGTAATAGTGGTGTCTGTGTGGGGAACTCTGGCCTGAGAGCGCTCCCCCTTACAGTGTATCTTTGGCATTCTGCAGTGCTGACCTTGTCGTTGTGACCATGTGGTGAGAAAATGACAGCATCCTCTGAGAATGGGACGGGGGGGCTGCTACGTACACAGGCATGCTACACAGAAGTTGCTTACTTACAGCTCGGTAGATAATCTTTCGTTAATCCACCGTACTTACCCCGACACACACACTGACTGCATCTTTTGTGTGGTTTCACAGAGAAAGTGTTTCTCTGTGGCTCGGGGTCGGGAGCAGGGGCCAGACTGATTCAGGACATTCCCAGGAGCACTGGAAGGAAATGAGGACACTGAGCAGTTCATGCAGGGTGTGTTGGGCTGTTGTTGTATCACTCAGGCTTCAGTAGAGGAAAATGATTATTATTATTTTTTAAGTTTTTGCCAAGGCGACATCAAGAGAAAAACGTGACCGCACACATTTCTGTGCGCCAGTGTGTCGGGTGACCGCGCGATAACAGAATGTTATGAATTTTGAGCGATTGGACTCATGTGATGCAGCTGCTGCCATGCCGCTCACGCTCCAGCCACACAAGAACATCACTTTCCTCCACGAACAATTCTCCTTTTCTACTTTTGTCTACAGCAGTTTGTTTTCCTTCAAGCAGGCGGCGGGCCGTGTTAGCGGATCTCCAGATGATCATTTCTCAATAATGCGAAATCATTACAATGAGAGTTTCAACATCCACACTAAATTGGTTTTGTGCTTTGTTTGCTGCCTGCCCTCTCACCAGCCTGGGCATGGATTACTCATACAACAGGAAATAATGACGCCAAGGTCCATTAAGTGGGATGGCAGGACATCATATCAGCATTAATCTCCCACTTAGCAGAGAAGCCCCGGGAGAAAAGGAGAGAGCGATGGAGGGGAGATGAGAGAGGGAGAATATAGCCTTTCCCTATTGGACTGGGGCCTTTAATTTTTATTGTTTTTGTTTTTTTAATTATATAAAACTTCATTAGAAATATCGTTTTGATTTGTCAAATCTGCACCCAAACACGAACACCAATGATTTAATACTCAACATGCAGAGACTTTTGAATCGAACTTTAGTCAAAATAGACAATTCGATTTGACTGGATGCCTTTATTTGATATAAATATTATAAAATGTTCGTTACTGCTGTGCATAATCGAATCATAGAATCTGTTTGCAAAGAGAAACAATACACGATCAGGCGTCACTCTGAGGGAAATCAGGGGGAGGGTAATTATTAGCAGTCTGTAAGATCCTGTGAACAGCAGGTTGTTAATGAATTAAATAAATGTATTATACCTTCCTGTGAAGTAACAAAAAAAAAGCTTGCTAAAATATTTATTTCGTTTACATGTTTTTCTTTTTTTTGGGGGGTCCTCAGAGGAAGTCTTCTGGTTTTCCATAAAACTGGACAAATACTCCAATAATGTAGGCCTCACTATAACTATACACATCTGAGCTTGTTTGTAGGCATGAACACCTCAGGAGAAATAGTTGAAATACTCTATAAACACTATATAAGAACTAGTCCATTTACCATTTACCATTTACTCAAATTAGTCATAAATGGTAAATGGCCTGTATTTATATAGCGCTTTACTTAGTCCCTATGGACCCCAAAGCGCTTCACACTACATTCAGTGGTCCACCCATCCACACACACATATTCACACACTGGTGATGGCAGCTACATTGTAGCCACAGCTGCCCTGTGGCGCACTGACAGAGGCGAAAAGTCATACAAAATCTATAAAATGAATTTCCAGTCAAATTTGACTTACAGTTCATTGCAAAATTCTTGAGCTACCCCATATTTTTTAATACTTTGGTAGAAAAATGGGAAAAAGCTGCAGAAATGTATTGCTTGCGTATACTAAAATACAGTATATAAGGCTTCTTGAAGGACATTCAAAGCGCTTCTTTGGATGTTGGCTGCCTTTAGTTCTGTTCTCTGTCAAGATGATCCCAGACTTTGGGTTCATTACTCCGTAAGTTCTGTGACCACGGACATCAGTGGCTCAGGAAGTAGCACTGGTCCTCTAAAAGGTCAGTGATTTGATTCTCCAGTCTGCATATCAAAGGATGGGAAATCATTTTAATATATCAAACATAAATAAATTATAACCCTGTGTTGCTTCCATCTGAGTATGTGTGCGAATGTTAGCCTTTGTATGAATGTGTGTGAATGGGTGAATGAGACTTGTAGTAAAAAATGCTTCGAGTGCTCAGTTCACAGGTCCATTTACCATTTCTGACGGGACTTCAGTGAAGAGTGTCAAATGAATGAGCAGATGCATCATTCAGGTCCTGTATCAGGTCTTGGTTGGATTTCTTTTTTCCATTTCAAAGACATGACTTTCATTTCTTCTGCAAATAGTTTTTAGGCCCACTCCTTCTTTTCTTCTCCATTTGTACAGTTTTCATGGCTGTTTTTTAAGGAAACACTGCACACAATGCTGAGGTATGCCAAGTTGTCAGCTAAAAGGTCTTTGGGAATGACTTTGTTGATACAAAAATACAATTTTATGTCAGTCAAACTGTCTTTGGCCTTTTTTTGTGGATTCAACGAAAGAAATGGAAACAAATGATTTGAAGTGCTTAAAGATACAATTTAAAGTCGGCTCTTTGCTAAGTTTTGTGTTATGTGTAGACACAACACTGATTCTCGAGTTAGTGCTTTTGTATGTTCAGTATGATCACGCAGGGATTCTTCTGGTTTCCATGGTGCATAGCGCCATCTGGTGGCAGTAAATAATTTACAGTTCTTCCGTTATGGTTGTCCTACACGATCCCTGAAAGACCCATAATTTAACTCAGTTTAAAATAAGAAATTATCGATTGACTATTGTAAATAAAAAATAACATGTCTCGTATTGTTTACTGGGCACTTTAGCAAATCGGTTTAATGAAAAAACAAAAAACAGCGGCGTCAGACTCGTCGGTTTCCCGTCCAGAGGTCGTCCAACTGCCCGCCTGATCAGAAGTGGCTTCGGTTGCGGTTGGCTGGCTGTCAGTCTGTGGGAGCGGTGACAGCTCAACGGGTCGTTTTATCTTTAGCTTTGTGCCCAATACAGTCGCCACAATGTTTGAGGAAGCCAGCGAGGTGTTCGATAACATGTTTAAATCTTCGTTTCCCCTCACCTTCATCGTCTTCATCCCGGCGGTGCTGATCCTGGTGTCTCCGCTCCCGGCCGAGGCGTCGCACGAGTTCACGGTGTACCGCATGCAGCAGTACGACCTACAGGGACAGCCGTACGGTAAGGTGGCTGCTTCTTTAGCCTGCTTGTCACAAAAAAGCAGACGTCCCTGCGTGAAGTTGGTGAGACTGGGCTCAGTGTCCGACACCAGTTAGCCTTGCTGTCATACACAGTAAGCGCCCGATTTCCTGAAGCGGAGTTTCAATGACAACAGGCTGCTAATGTAGCTTAGCATAAGCTAGCTCATTTCCCCATGGCCCAAGCAGGAGCCAGGCTCCTTTAAATAATGCAACCAGAGCTCAGAGCTGAAGACGTATCCTCTTTTAGTACGTTTAATGATTTTAACTTAAATGTGAGAGGCGCAAAACCCTGGCAGGCCGTTGCTCCTCAAATTGATAACTAGCTGGATGAGTGAATGACCTGTAGGGCTGTATAACATGTACACTGAAGAGTGACTGAGGAGATGAAGGCTGTCTTAAAGGGATTCCTCTGTCTAGTATCTGTGGCAGAAATAAGTAAATAGCAGCTGTCAGCCTTGACAAATAGTTCACCACTCCAAGGTCTGTGCCAAGCAGCTTTTTTCACCCTCAGCATCCCTGTGTTGAAAGATTAGTTTCAGGTCTCACTCAGTGCTGCTCCAAACCTTGTGTCTTGTGTCCTCAGGTACCAGGAATGCCATCCTGAACACGGAGGCCCGTACTGTGGAGGCAGAGGTGCTAAGTCGTCGCTGTGTAATCATGCGGCTGGCGGACTTCTCCTATGACAAGTACCAGAAAGCCCTGCGCCAGTCAGCGGGGGCTGTGGTCATCATCCTGCCAAGGAACATGTCTGCTATGCCGCAAGACATAGTGCAGGTAGCGTGCCAGTCTGTGACACCACAATCCACTATCGCATGCTTCTTCATTTTCAGTTCAGTGCTGTGTTGGTTTCCACGGTGGGTTTAGTATATAGTGAAGTCAGAGGTTATTTCTATAGCACATTTTAAACAAGTTGACCCAATTGCTCCACAGGTTATGCAAAATATACACTCTGCATGAGGTTCAGCGCACGTTCCTTTGACTGTTTCCAGGTTGATTGTTCTTTCATATTAAAGGTACTGTGTTAGGTTTGAATCCAGTCAAGGCCACACGATCAGACTTCAAAGGCTGAAGTTTTGGGATTGCGTTTGCACCGTAGCACCTTTTGGCCCATCATTCTTTTTAATTTAGTGAAGCTGTGGTTTTGCTGGCCAGAGTGCTTTTGTTTCAATCAGGGCAGGTCGCAGTCACATTTATGACAAGCCCGTCTGATTTGTCTATTATTGGCTTATTTTAGTAACTCTGGTGTTTGTTTTTACATAATCGTCGGCCATTTTTAAAATGAAAATTCACTAAAGCAAAGAGAAATATATAAGCCTACCCTGTCCTAATAAAAGCTCTGCTACCATTGAGTGAGTCATCACTGATTTCGTTAGTGTGCGCTATAATTTATTGCATTACAACAGCAGGTAAGCTACTTTGTGCTCACAGCTTTAGTTTATATTTATAATTTGCAGAAGATATGACCAAGTAAGGCATCAGGTCTTGAGAGAAAAATGTGCTCTTGATGGTTGTATTAAGACATTTCAGAACGTGTGGCTTACACGTTTACATCGCAGGAAGGCACAAATGCAGACACACCCAGTGTTGACATTTTTTATGCATAGTATATTTTTTCCCTTTCTGCTGCTAATAGTCTGCACAGAGATAAAACTAAAGCATAATTTTACAGCAGTAAGTGCCATGCTCAAGGGCACCTCAGTTGTGATAGGAACAGGAAGGCAGTTGTTTTTTTGACAGCACCACCTCTTTGAGCTGTTTTTGACGGGTTTCTTTGCACCATATAAGCCTGAGCGTGTGCTGTGTTCCTGTGTTCATGCTCTACATCTTGTGACTAATTAAACCTCCCACTTCACGCGTGGGAATCTCCTGGAAAAGGAGGGACTTATAGTAGTAGTAGGCATTTGATGTGTTATGTTAAACTAATTAACATGTCTGGTGAATTGTTATCTGCACAGATTTTTGTTACACAACTCTGTAAATGTGTAAAGCAGTTTGCTGCTTCCGCCCATCATTTGTTCTTCTCGGCGCTGGCAGAGATGAAGCGGTTGAGTCACATTTCCTTCCCTTTTATTAACTCTGCTGTCCTCGACCGTGTCTCCCGGTAGCAGTTCATGGAGTTGGAGCCTGAGATGTTGGCTACTGAGACCATCGTCCCCGTCTACTTCGCCATGGAGGATGACGAGCTGCTGTCTATCTACACACAGACCCTGACCTCCTCATCCTCACAGGGCTCCTTATCAGCGGCCGAAGGTAGAGAACCTGCTGATGATCTGCACTGTGTATGATTTTAAACGTCACGTTTTAGATTTTTATAATGTTTTTTGTGCTTTCTCTAGTCCTGCTGCACACGGCCACAGCCAACGGCTTTCAGATGGTGACCAGTGGAGCTCAGAGCAAAGCCGTCAGTGACTGGGCCATCACCAGTTTAGAGGTGAGCCACATTACAAACTGATTGGATGTTCATTTATCTTTTCTGATTTCATCCTTGTGTTGTTCCTTGCCAGACTTCGGCGGTGGATAATGCTCCTGCTTTACAGCCATATGTTAACCATACTTACCTCTGTAACAACTGATCCATGAGATAATTGCCAGAGTGTTTACTGCGCCTTATGACAAATATATGCATTTTAACTTGCTTTATGTTTTAGTTTGTTGCTCACAGTTAGTTTATATAAAAATATATATTTGGGGAGGTTGGGGTTTAAAAAAGTCACGTTGATGTAGAAGTCTAAAAAGCTCATGTAGCAGATATGACACCATTACTAGAGGTGGGAACATCCCATAATACACTATTGTTTTTTATATTTTGTTATGCTGAATATTGCAATAACATATATGTGAGTTATCAGCTTTTTTCAACTGCAAACGATGTGCTTAAAGGTAAACTTTATCAATAACTTTTATCTTACTGGATAAAACAAATAACTCAAAAATTATTTATGCAAAATGAGATCATCGAGCACACAAACGCTGTCATTAAATCCGCCCATAACTGAAATCAGTTTGCGATCGAGTACGGTCATTCGATTTGTTTCTGATCATCACAAAGACAGAAATGCAGAAAGTTTCCAGATCCATGTTTAACTGTTACATTTGCACCCAGCAACGTTCCTCTGTGGTGCATGAGGTGGGTCCTCTTGTCCTTGTGTTTTAATTCATAAAATATTTAATGTCCCCTGTGTAAATACAATATTACCACACAAAATACTGCAATACTTTGGTGTATCGTGTTTTCCCCCCCACCTCTAATATTTAGATTGCAGGGACCTCCAGTGTAAGATTACAGTTTCCATGTTTGCTACGTGTGTGTTACTTCCAGTAACACTTCCACCACATGGTCAGTTGTCATTGTTGTCATTGCTGTTGTATCTTAGTCACTATTGTAAACTCTGTGTAGGATACCTGCATGTTCATGTCAGGTAGATGTAAAGTATTAGGTGGCTCCACAGTGTCGCCGTTTACACGCTTGTTTGACAAATGTCGCTCCCGGGAGAAGAGACGGATCCCTTTGGCAGTCCTTTGTGAATAAGGAAAAGTAGCTTCATGTATGTTAGAATATTACAGCCTTTTTGGAAGATTTTTTTTTTGTCCACAGCCAAAGCAGTACGGTGGTTGCAACTATGTTTTACATAATGAAGGGTCACAGTTTTGTTTGGATCGTTTCTCTGAGAGCTTTTGAAGGCGTTTTCGTCCTACGGTGAACACGAGGAAAATCAACTGAGTGAAATGAAACGCGGTTTAATTTACTCATTGGGAACATGGTGCTCGATTCTACTCATTGGTCTCTTAAATGTTGCCAAGGCGAGTTGTGTTAATTAGTATTTTTGTTTTCATAAAAAACACTAATACATAACAAAAACCTATTCAGAGGATTTTCTCTCTGCTTTGAGCTGGAACCTGCTGCTGCCTGAAGCTCTGACTGTTGGTTTAGTGTTTTGTGTGCGACTTCTGAATATGTGGGTGGGCTTAAACTCCTGAACGAGGAACAGTCGAGCAGGTCAAAAGCTGTGGATTTACTCAGCAGGGATTACTCTGACTCAGTGTTTCTGGATGGGAAATAATTCAAAGAGTTCTTACAATAAACTGCAGTTTTAAACTGCTTGGCGCTGTTTGACTTTAGGTACTTGTGTGTAGAGCTGTGCAATATGACCAAAACCTCATCTCCCGATATCAGACATCTATCGTCCGATAACCATATAAATCACAAAAATGTAATATTTTCTGTAAATTCTGTGAATCTCGGGCAGCTCGACTTGCGTGAAGTGTTTCCAGCTGCGCGTCGTGTAGCTGGAGTTTTAACCGATGCTGAAACTTTACATTTTTAGACATAAGTTGTAACGGCGCCGTTTTCTTTGTGAGTATTTATTACACGGCGTGCTGCGGGGAGAAGCCTGTTCTAACGTTTGAGTCTAAGCTTTATTTTTTAGCACCTGGCGGCTCTTTTTTACTTCTCATCCGTAAATAATCTGCTCTTTCACGTGATTCAGTTTATTTTGAAAAGTCTCAACAGGATCTTGAGCTTTATTGTGAAAGGTTTATGTGGAACATAAACAAGCGGATACGCGATGGCGTTACCGTCGTTGTTGCTAATGACAACGCATAAAAACAGGCGCTTGTCTGTCCGTAGTGTTGTTATATTAAATATAAGAGAAAGAGAGAAGTTTAATAAATTAATATAAACACTACAGTGACATCAGAACCATGAACAAATATTGCTGTAAACAGTTTATTTTGTGACACCACGAAACAAACGACAGCGTAAAATGAAACGACAGATGTTTTTATATCGTCATCATATACATGGTTATATCGACCAGCCCTACTCCTGTGTAAATAGGTGATGATGAAGAAGAATAACTGTAACACTGTTAAAAACTGCTAAAACACATGATCATATCTTTTGCTCTCAGCACATTAATTTGCCAAAATAGACTGAACGCAATGAACAAAGTCATTGATTTTGACTGTTAGCATAAATAAATATTCTAATAAAAACACTTTGATTAAAGGCTGCATGTGTTTTAGTCATTACATTTTTTTCTGGTTCTGCCAGAGGTTTCTTCCTGTTTTTCCTGCCGCTGTTGCCAGGTGTTGGCGCATAAGTGGTCATGTGATTGCTGGACTGTTGTTGAGAAACAACACTCTAAATTAATAAAATATTTATAAAATAATAAAATAAATACGTATAAATAAAATTGAATTGTTTACTTTTAAACATGTAAATATAAATAAAAGAATACAGAACAAAAAACATAAATGAATAAATAACAATTCATGTTATTTAAAATTTACACGCTCAAAATGAATCTGAAGGCTTTGTCATCTGTCCTGCACAGTTCACAAGAATCTCTCCTCCTCCGAGAGTGGTCGTCAGATTTTAATGAAACAACAAGATTAGTTTGTCCTTGACTCTTAGTCTGTAAAGTCGGGACACTGATGGGAGCAAGACTTTACATTAGAGTAACCTTTGAACTGTATCAGACGAGCGCGTTGATGTTGTGATGTCCAAATGGACAGAAGCTGTGTTTGCCTGAGAGTTTCATGGACTATCTCAGTACCACAAACTCACCCCTTTGTTAAAAGAAAGAAAAATATTAGTTGTTTATGATCTTGAACAGAATGACTGCAGTTAGTGTGTACTCATATTTAATGAAACCTCTGTAGGGGATGCTTATCTCTGAACTCGCTTTACTCTAATTGGAGATAATTTATGTGAATTTCAGGAGCACATGTCACTCCATCCTCTGCTCTCTTTTAATAAATGTAGGCGCGGCCCTGCTGGTGAAAGGTGAAGATTAGAGCTGATGCAGCCTTTAAGTACATTATATTGACTAAAAACAGTCATTTTGAGCTTTGTGTTAAAAAAGCGCTTCAGTCTGACTGCAGAGGATCAGCAGATTAGCAGAAGAGTGGAATTAACTGAACACAGTGAGATTGTTTTCTGTTCCTCTTTTATTCTCAGCGTGATATAACGGCTGAATCTGTTTGCTCACAGGGCCGTCTGGCTGGAGTTGGAGGAGAGGACCTCCCCACCATCGTGGTGGTGGCTCATTACGACTCCTTTGGTGTTGCTCCGGTATGCTTCTTTTTTCCTAACTCGGTCATCACTGACAACTTGGACACAGTCAGGGGGTTTGTCAGGAAATATCTCCAGGATTTGCTGAAGTAGGAGCGGTTATATTTGTGGAGAGCTGGTCAAAAAAGAGAAAATAGGGCAGCAAAGTAATCAGCCTGTGCTCTGTTGTGTAGTGGCTGTCATACGGAGCAGACTCAAACGGCAGTGGAGTGTCCATGTTACTGGAACTGGCCCGACTCTTCTCCAAACTCTACACCTACAAGAGGACGCACGCTGCGTGAGTAACAACGATCACGTTACGATTCTTTCTGATCATTTGTGCCTCAGGTAGCACCGTGGTGCGATGTCTTTAAGCTAGACGTCGCGCTGAAGGTCTGTTCTGCCCCTGCGTTCACAAACGCATGGACTCGAGTGACATTCGTAATCCATACGGTTTAATATGATGTCAGCTATAACAGCTTCCGCTCTTCTGGGAAAGCCTTCCACGGGGTTTAAGAGTTTTGTCAAGAATCCCCCAAACTGTTCTTTCAGAAGCATTTTTGTGAGGTCAGACACTGATGTTGGCTCCGCTCTAATTCATCCCAAAGGTGTTCTGTCGGGTTGAGGTCAGGACTCCACGCTCGCTCATCCGTGTCTTTGTGCACTGGTGTGCAGTCATGTTGGAACAGGAAGGGGTCGTCCCCGAACTGTTTCCACAAAGTTGGGAGCATGAAATGGTCCAAAATATGCTGAAGCATTAAGAATTCCTTTCACAGGAACTTCTCACATCTTACATAAAGGGCGAGCCCTTTTCCCTTCTCCCACTCCAGAGAACAAGTGTCCGCTGCTCCAGAGTCCAGCGGTGCTTTGCTTCACGCCAACACTTTGCATTGTGCTTGGTGATGAAAAGTAAGATGATTGAGCTGCGTCACTTCTGTCTGCCGTTTATTTACTTTGTGGCAAAATGTCGAGGAAAAGTGCCGAGTTTTATCTGGAGCTTGTACCACTGATATTAATCTTTAATAACTGTCAAAATTGAGAGGAAACCAAAACCACTGCTGTACAATGCTCTCTGCCGGCTTAGTTGAATTGGTCACATGACTGCATCAAATGACTAAAATGCTTTTGAAAGCCTCCGTTTACGCTGTCCACACCGCGACGCGAAACCGGCGCTTTCCAATTTATCCACTTTGAAGAGCGTTTTCAAAAAACGCCGTCTCAGTGTGGCTGGAAGGCCAAAACGGAGAGAAGAAGACGGGTTTTCAAACAAAAACGTGTCAGTGTGGACGTCTGCGCTCTATGATTGTCGTTCCAAATCACTTCTGCTTCACTTCAGCTGTCTCGGTGCAACGCTGGAGTTCACTGAGATCCTTTCACACGTTTGTAGGAGCGGTCGGCACGACTTTATACACCTGTGGCCATGAAAGTGATGTGAACGCCTGAGTCCAGTGGCTTGGATGGGTCAGTGAATACATCTGCAGCAAAGTGTATATGAGAAAACAGACGTAGCATTGATCGCTGACCTCAGTAGTTCATGTGAACATAAGCCAGAGTCTGTTTGTTACGTCTGTCTCATTTGTTATGGTCAGGCTGCTTCTTGAGGACTGTATTGAATTATCTTTGCACTCGGCTGAGATAACGAGCACATCTGAGCGTGTTAAACACTCAGAGTGGTCACTAATATCCTGATATGGTGTGTCTGAAAGTACTTAACAGCAGAGGAAGTGAAAGAAATCACTTGTTAAAGACTGTGAAAGTGGACTTTACCATAAGTGCAGCGTTGGCACTGCTGTAGGCCTTATATAAGATGGATGCAGTAAGTGATGGCATCCGTCAATGGTTTTTAATTGGAGCTGAACTGAAGCCTAGAGATTGGCTTCATCATCATTTTTTCCCTGCTGGAGCCAAGTGCGATCAGATATGGGAAGCTGTGTTATTACACAACAACCAAATCAAAACGGTGTGACTGCAGGGCTGCGCTTAGCTCCAACTAAACTCCATCAGATGCTTATTTACAGTAAAAGAGATGTGCTGAGCATCTCTCTTCAGCTGATTGGGTAATGCCTCCTCAAAGTAATTTACACAAACACAGTATAGATTTGAATTTAAGGACCCTCCTGACATCACTGTAGTCAGTCCAAGCCACATATACTGTCAGTCTAATTTTATTCCTATTCATGGATATTATGGAAACGAGGGTGACACATGACTGGTAATCTGTGTTGTCTTGTTTTATTGAAAATCTGTGAATTTCTCTGTTATTTTGACCATTTGTTGAACGACCACAAGCACTCAGGAGATTTAGATTTGATCGATTGTTATTTCTATAGCCCCGAATCACAACAACAGCTGCCTCACGGCGCTTCATAACAATCAAATTACCCACTCTGAACAATCACAATGGAAAAGAAACAGGAAGAAACCTTCGGCACAGGCTCAGGGAGAGACGTTCAGACATGCAGTGGAGGAGAGATTGATTTAGTTTGTTCGTTGTTATTTGTGCTTCTTCCACTTTAGCCTCAATTTCAAGTTGTGGTCGTTGCACTTTAGATAAAACTCGTTGGACATTTGCGTCATTTTAGAAAAACCTTGTTTTTTATTTTCCGTAGGCGCCATAATTACAGGCTGCATCATTTAAACACCACATTCTGTTGCTGACCATGTGTTTACAACCACAGTGATGGCTGCTTCCAGCCGGATAAGACTCAAAGCTTAAAAGTGTGCTTAGAAGACACCGCCCACACCATCACATCACCACCAATCACACAAAGCAGGGCAGATCCATTCTTTCATGTCACATCAGCTTGAAGCATTTTAGACATTCCCCTCTGGGCTCCCATCTCTGATTGGATTGATTTGTTGCCATGTGATTGGCTGTTTAGATGTTTGCAGTGAGTGCATATACCAATATTGCAGAAACCTCTCATGTGTGAATCGTGCTGTGTTCAGGTACAACCTGCTGTTCTTTCTGTCCGGCGGAGGAAAGTTTAACTACCAGGGCACCAAACGCTGGCTGGAGGACAACTTAGACCACACAGGTATCGTTCAGCAGTCTCACACAAACCCTGCAGCATTCATGCATCCATAATCCACATTTCAACAGCAAGTTAATAAAAACATATTTTATAATTATTGAATGTAGTTTGTAGTATTTTTAGTAGTAATGTGTTTAAAAGCTGGTTACATCTGTTGTCTCTTCTTCCCGTCAGACTCCAGTCTGCTGCAGGATAACGTAGCCTTTGTGTTGTGTCTGGATACTTTGGGGAACGGAGACTCTCTGCACCTCCATGTGTCCAAACCTCCCAAAGAGGGAACCCCTCAGTATTCCCTGCTGAAAGAGCTGGAGGCGGTAAGAAGTCACAGACTCCATGAGTCTTGGAGCAGCTTAGACGGATCACCAGAGGTTACATTCTTCTGTCTTCCTCCCAGGTGGTTGCGAGTCAGTATCCAGAGGTCAAGTTCTCCATGGTCCACAAGAAAATCAACCTGGCTGACGACATGCTGGCGTGGGAGCACGAACGTTTTGGGATCCGCCGCCTGCCCGCCTTCACTCTGTCCCACCTGCCCTCGCACCGGCTGGCTCAGCGCTCCAGCATCATGGACGTGCGGTCAGTGTCCCCCTCCTCTCGCCACGGAGCGGGAGAGCCCCCTGCTGGGTGGGTCCATTACTGCAGTTTCTTGAATCACCAAAAAATAGTGTTTCCATTCCAGCTGCCGGTCATGAGCTGTGGTCAGGTTCTTGTTTTGTTGATGTTTTTGCTCAGGAAGGTTGTGACTGAAATGGTCGTTATGATGAGATGGTCATGTTCTTTAAACTGCCGTTAACATCGATGCACCGTCTACATAACCTGTATTTCTTTTTTGTTTTTACTCCATTTGCTTTATTTGATGATATTTTCCACCAAGATTCAGGAAAATCTTAGCAAAGGCATCATCTAGATGGTCTTTTTTACTCTGCAGACAGGCAGGACTTTTCCATGCTGTCAATAATGTTTATGATGTTTAATCTAAACGAGGTTGTAAGGAGTCAGGAGAGTCGTTTCCTCTCCTGTAGCCGTCGATTTGTCTTTTCTCTGTGAGCGAGCGTCTTCTCAGACTTCCTACGTCTCAGCCTGTCTGTGTGTGAAAACAGACGCTCTGTGATCAGCTCCCTGGTTTCTGCTCTTCGCCTCGGACGACTTCCTGTCGTCTAACTGTCTGCAAACTCGTATTTGTGTCTTACAGGCCTCACGTAGATGTGAAGAAGCTCAGCAGGAACACCAAGCTGGTAGCAGAGGCTCTGGCGAGGGTCGTCTACAACCTCACAGAAAAGGTCTAAACAGCAATTTTTAAAAAGGTTTAAACCGATGAAGATTGTAGGCACTGTGATGCTAATGTGACCTGTTTCTTTAAACTTAAAGGCAGCACCTGGAGACCTGCAGATTTTCACTGAGCAGATGGTACGTCACCTGTCTGTCCTGTTACATCATCATCCGAGTCGCACGCCTCCCTGGAACCTGATTCATTTTATTTTCCTAAAACATACACAGTGCAGCAGATAACTTGATTGTTAGTTCTGAATCTGGATTCGTTACATCTTCAGTCTCTCAGCGATCACAGGTGTTGAGCTCACGTGTCTTTTGTAATATGGTCGGTCTCCTACCAGCAGGTGCAGGACGAGCAGCTGTCAGCCGTGGTGGACTGGCTCACGGCGCAGCCCAGAGCTGCTCAGCTGGTGGACAAAGACAGCACCGTGGTGTCCACCCTGGAGTATCACCTGGGACGCTACCTCAAGGATGTCAAAAGACACTACGTCAAAGCTGACAAGAGGTAAAAAAAAAAAGGAAAAAATCCACACCTGGAGCGATGGGGGGGAGGTTTATTTGATGTATTTCGTAGGTTTTGATCTGTGTCCTCGTCAGCATGTCAGCTCTTCATTCTCTCCTCTTCAGGGATCCAGAGTTTGTGTTTTATGACCAGCTGAAGCAGACGATGAATGCTTACAGGTACGGCTTCAGGGAGCTGGTTTTCTCTGCACAGAGGGGCTTTAAGGCTCCTCGTACCTCTGCAGCTCACAGCTGTGATGTCATAATTATTTTGAAACTTTGGTGCATATGAGATCAAATTCATAAATAAAACATGATGTAGTAACGCTCTCTGCCCCATGTTAAACTGTTCTTTCTCCTCACTCAGAGTGAAGCCCGCCATCTTTGACCTGCTGCTGGCTGTCTGCATCGCAGCCTACCTGGGGATGGTGTATTTGGCTATCCAGGTAAGTGTCACTTTATTCATGATGGCATCGTTTCGACTCATTAGGGGACACTTAACTCTCACATCAGATCCAGGGAACCAAATACTCCAGTCGGGTAATTCACTGAGCACAAAATGATGTAACGAACATCAGCGGAGACGAAAATTAAATTAACCATAAGGGCTTGATCTGATTCACAGTCACAGTTTAGAATCACAGGCTGAATCAGGATGTTGCTGTTTGCACTCCTGACAGTCTGGAGATGAGACGGTGAACGCGTTCAGATTTGGATCACTGCTGTGGTGCTGTTTGGTGGATTTGAACACAGTGTTGCGTAATGTCCTAAAACGACTGCGTGGGCCCGTCAGTGTCTTTGTCATCCAGGACCTGCAGAGACGCTCTGGGCGCTGTACCCACGTGAGGCCCAACAGCTGGTCTTTCATCCTGGTACCCAGCGGGTTACAAATATGCTCCCCCAGTTATACTGGATTGTGTTGCAGGTGGAATAGAGTTCACCACAGCAGAGACTTTCACATCTCTCACATTTACTCTGTGTGAACGGCTGGTGAAGAAAACGGCGTCCTCCTGTGGCCCCGTCCAGCTCCTCTCATGTTCCCTGGTGTCTCCTCCACACTCTGAGGATCTCTGTTAATTTTCTGTCAAGGCCTCTTTTTGTATAGGACACACCATCTTATTCTTTCGCCTTTTTAAAAGCAAACACTAACAGTGTTAACAAAGAGATCAGGCCTAGATTAACAGATTTATTGCACTTCTCAACAACGCAGCGCCATCTGGTGGCAGACTGCTGCATAACCTTCAGAATACAACAACTTAGCGGCTTTAAGCATCAATTGAAATGGAAAACAATTAGTCAGGTACCGACTACAAGAGCAGCTAGATTAGCCCCAAGGCCAACTTCAGAATACCCTAACCCAGCGGTCTCCAACCTTTTTTGCGCCACGTACCCCGAGGCCCGGGGGTTGGGGACCGCTGCCCTAACCCACACCTCACCAGGTGTAGTCAGTCGGGCAGTACCTGAAGACGAGTCCACTGCGGAGCTGCAGAGGTCTACAGAGTGTGTTGGGCTCGTGAGACTAACCCTGTTTCTTTTGTCTCTTTGCAGAACTTTGGAGTCCTGTACAGTGTTGTCCGTAGAATCACTCAACCCAAGGCCAAGGCCCACTAAGGCGTGCAGCAGCGTTTACTGCCCCGGACCCTACTGTACCCTTTTTCCTCAAATTCAATAAACTCTAGCCAATAAGACACTGAGGCTGGACCGAGCTGCTGTTTTCACGATGGTTTCCAAACCAGCAGAATCACTTCCGTTTCCTTCGTCCCTCATGCACAAACAATGATGTCAGATCCTGTCTTGCTGCCAACTTTGACCCGTTTGGTCTCATGGACCAGAATAATCAGGAATCATTTCAGTCTCCACAGATGTCTCTGTCATTCATTCAGCGTGGTCACTCATGTTGTTTTTAACCTCTAATGACGGGGGTTAATGTCACAGGTCATGATGAGATTGGTTGAGATGTCACGTGGCTGCACCGATCGCTCCCCGTCCCTCTTCTCGGCGTACTTCACGAGCCAAACGTCGTGACGTCACGTGTTGTCTCAGGCAGCTAGAGGGAGAAGCTGACCGCACAGTTTATCCCAGAATTTCCTTTTGTCAGGAGGGCTGATCACCAGGGAGTCTCACTAAATATAACGCTCGCACGATCAGCCGCTGACGGTTCGCTGTCTGAAATCGTCTAGTGTTGTGTCGAGAGCGACTGGAGCGTTTCCTTTGAGTGAAACCCTCAAACACGAGTACTGTTTACGGACATGACGTCGATCTGTCTAAATGAAATGTGAAGTAGTCTTTAGAGCGTATCTCCATGCCTTTAATACAAACCCCGTCACATCATTAATGTAGTTGTGCAGTGATAGTTTTCACTTTGGCGTTTCTGTTTGCTTTTCGTGCCATTTGTTCGTTTCCTGTGACGTGTCGTCTTTGTCTGATTTGCCTTTTTTTAAATCTCCAAACTGATTTAGAGAAACGGTCACGCTGGTGGCACCAGCTGCTCGGAGAGCTTGTTTCAAAATGTCACATGGAGCCATGTTTTGTTTTTCTTCCTTATCTAATCAATAAAATGAGCCCCTCCCCTTTCCTAATCAGTAGATGGGACCTTTTGCTGACTTGCAAAAATATGATTTGACCAAATCAGATATTTTTAAATCCTTGCCCTCGTCTTTGCTTTGGGTGAAAAGTGTTAATTTGCTTTTTAAAAAAATGTATTTTCTGTTACCACATGACCTGTGACCCCTCCCCCTCCCAATCAGCAGACCCGTGGAGGGGGAATTGACTGTGTGGTAAATATGAGTTATAATTTATTAAATGGCTTTGTTTTTGTTTCGTGCACTGAATCTGCTTCATCTGCAACACTTGATCTTTGCAATGAAAGTGAAAACGGTTGTGATTAAAAATAAATGACACATGAAAAACACTCAAATCGTTCTTTACCCACATGTTTTATTTCATGAGAAAAAAGAAACGATAACATTGGCTGAATGGTATTAAAATCGTATTACAAAAAAGCAAGTATGAGGTTTGTTTTTATCAAGTAGTCGTGTTTCAGAAAGTGGCCAGATTCAGTTCAACCTCGGGGGTCATTTGTACATCTTTGTGCATCAAGGGTCCAAAACAAGTTAAAACACATTTGAAATTAAGAGATTTAATTATTCATCCTTCAGTTGCTAAATGCACCTTTTAATTTTGATCTACTGATGAACAATAAAAAGAATATTAATAAATTACAGTGCAAATACCTGCAGGGCTTTTTCTGGCCCTGTCGCTCTGTTAGCGCTCCTCTTTGCTCCCACAGACACTCGCCTCATCAGCTCGGGTGGAAATTTTGGCACAATCAAATCATGACAAAGCTTTGGGTCAAAAACTTTGAGGCAGTCTCTGAAAGTTTGTTTCTGCCACTGAATTTCTTATTTCATCTTTTTGCAATTGAAATTTTGATTAACTCTACTTGCCTTTGTTTGTCAGTGGTGGAAAAAAAGCTTCCATGTTGACCAGAAACAATCTGAACGCCATTTTTGTTGTTTGTTTATTGGACGAGGACGAAGCTGAGGTGCCGAGATCAACGTGTAATAATCCGCTTACTGCAGCCTCTTAAATAAGGTGACTTCTCAAAGATGCCGTTACACCGATGAGTCTGTGGAAAGTTCCCTTTGTGTCGTCACTCCCTAAAACATTTTTAGTAACTGCGAACCAGCCAACATACCTGAACAACAAAAACACCTGATTGGACCTCATCAGTAAGGTCGCCCTGTCAGTTATGAAGCTTTGGCGACTGTATGCATACAGGGACCAAATACATCCTCATTTTACTTTCCAACACCTGCAACAGGAGGTCCTGTGAGTCCTTCATTCATCATCACTCCCCTAAACATAAGGGAGTGGGGGTGATGAGGTGAGAGCGCACAGCGGGCTCTGCTGCTAACGTCTCGGTCCTGTTTATGCACTTTAACATCGCGCCCCGATGTTCTTAGTGTGCGCTGATGGGGAGTGATGAGGTCAAGTTCACACGACCTCAGCTGTAAGCCAGTGTTGACAGGATGGTTTTAGTCAACTCTGAGCCGGGGGTGGGCGATGTGGGTGAAATCTGTCATAATGATCATTTTTAATATTCATAATTTGTACTTGCTGATTAAAAACACAATGAGGTTCTGAAGGACAGTAACCAGGGTGGAAGCAGTTAGCACATTGGCTAGTGTTACGCATAACCATACTGCCCACCCCACGAACAGTTACTTGTACAGACATCAGCGCAGTTGTACGACACGGTGGGAGAGACGTTTCTGAGAGCGCCACGTCAGGCTTTAGGGGGCGAGTCACACCCGATCCAGGACGTGGATTTTTGAGGGTTTACTGCAGACTTCATTCTGAGCTCATCGGCAAACTACGGATAGTCTCGCCTCACAGCAACATGTCGGATCAACCGTGTCACCTACAGTACAGATGTGTCACCACTACAGTAAAACGAGTGCAGCATTCAGATTAAATGGAAGAGGTCGGAGACTAGATCCAGATGTTTGCCACGTAGATGGACAAGCCCCCCGCCCCCGGTCCCTGAAAATATCCGACCTGGGCTGTCAGATCACGATCAGCGACTCACACGCAGCAGGAAAAACAACAACACATCTGAAATACAAACTGCTCTCTCTCAGGAAAAATAACAGCAGCAAATTAAAATAAATCAATGCAGATAATCTGCACCAACAGATACTAAGGAAAAGGAAATAAGTTAGCTCTAACCCCCCCCAAACACAATGCGAGCAGCGTGGAAGACACACAAAGCAAAGCGGATCGTCTCGTAGGGACAGACGACATCTGCAGCCTGCTCCAGCAGCACAAGCATGCTGTTCATCCAAACAAGCGCTTGAATTTGATCGAGAAGGTGGAGAAACTGAAATATCCCTTATTTTCTACAGCGGCCGTTCCCACTAAAGTGCGAGCTGGAAACCAGCGAGGGAAAACCGAGGGAACAGTTCCCTTTCACTCGAGTTCAAGTTATTAATATGCTCAAATTAGAAATCATAGAAAAATCTTCCCTTAGGCTGGGGGAAACGTTTCTGGGATATTTGTGTTCGGTGGCCTCGCTGCGCCAAAAACACAGAAAACAAACAGATCGCTTTTAGGACGAGTTAGTAAAAACTTCATGATTACACAGCTGTAGGATGTTTCGTGATCATTTCATAGCAGTTCCAAAATCATTCCGATGTCATGCATTTCTGAATTCCATAATCTGCACATACATAACGTTTTGTTTTTCATCGTTCAGTCTTTCCATGATTATTATTGGCTCCTTTTTTTAGCCGCCACCACCTGAAATCTTTTGATTCTGAAACCCAGTCAATCAAGTCCAGCTATTTGCTGTCATTAAACCAGCTTGTACGCCTTCATGTCAGCGACAGATGCTCTGCGACACACACACACACACACACGAGAACAAATAATTTAAAAAACAAAGCAAATGAACTTTCCGTACAGGAATGACAGGTGGATATTCCTAATGCCTGCGATGGTCAGTACAAGAGAAACAAAAGATTAAAAAACATCCACTTTACACACACACACACACACACACACACACACACACACACAGCCTGGTTTTTTGAAATCAAGCTAATTGAAAGCAGGCAGCCAGAGCCGCCTGGTCCCAGCCACCGACTTGTGCGATGATATGAAAATCAATACATGTGGTGAAGCGGCCATAAGGCCAGGCAGCCTTTCTCACACCACCGTGCCATGTTTGTTTTTTACCCTTCCTCCTCATATCATAGGTCAGAGAGGACGGGCGGAAGCGATTCATTAGGAATTACTAAATATCTAAATGTCTACAGAACCATTTACTGGCCAAAAGCTTCCTCGCCTGGGCGCTGCGGTGCTGCGCACGGTGCTGTACGCCCCGCACAACTGTACGCGACAATCACAGTCCAGCTCTCATTCAAACTGCTCGTTTCTACTGAATCTGTCAAATGTAAAGTTAACAAGAGTAAGACAAAAAGTCGGCTGAAATAACATTCACAGTGCTCCAATTAAACCAATCTGGAAACAAAATGACAGCGATGATTTGAAATGTTCTAAAAACAAATACAGAGAGTAAAAAGTCATCAGACGCGATGTTTCCCTTTCAAGATGCTCTTCCTTTAAAACATGCTCCACGCTGAAGGAGGGCGTCTTTGTCTTGCATGTACCAGCAGCCTAGTGCCAGGTGGTGGCGACGGAGGGCCTGTTATAAATGCTTCTCCTTTGTGATCCCGTTCTGCACGTGTTTCCTGGAAAGAAAGCCAGATGGGAGAGAAAGGAGTGAGAATCCTGAGGTGATCAGCAGAAGTGAGACATCAGCAGACACGGGGCATATCAGAAGTGTTCAAGGCCAGGCAGATAAGGACCAAACAGCACGTCCGGGGCTTTCTTACACGAACTCATTTGCCTTTGGGACAGGAGCGCACATCTGATAACTCAGCCTACCTGAGTTAGTATTCAAAATGAGGCTAGTTTTAGACACAGCACAGCAGGGATGCGCAAGCAGCCCCTCAGATAACGACATGAACCTATAACCTCAGCCAAAAGTACACTTTGCTTTATGTCAGCACTTCTTAGTTTAAAGCTCACTGCTGCAAATACAGATTACACAGGATTCACAGAGAAACAGCTTGTGACTATCATATCATGTGGTGACTTTTGATGTAAGCTAACTGCTTCCACAGGTTATGAAAGTGCATTTCTTCTGCTTAACCAGCTGTTGGTGGGACTGTGGAGCTCTGCAGGCAAATATGTATTACAGCATGTAGCAAATCAAGTTTACACAGCGGCACCCAGGTGAAAACAGAGGTTTTAAATTCTGTCACGGGCTGTGAAAGGGATTTTAAAATGTAATATTTCAGTTATAAACAAATGTAATTTGAGGTACCAGAACTTTTTCTGTAACTTTACACATTGGTCATGTAGAAAAACTGAGACTACTGTTGAAACTGAACTTCTTTTTCTTATCTTGAGAACATGTTTAGCTAAATGTCTTTACACTGACAGAAAGCGGAGTGTCACTGCTCCAGCATCCGGTCTCCCACAATGTCAAATTAATTTACTATCTCTGCATTAAAGCTTCCTCTTTGTCTAAGCAGCTGTACAATGTAGCCTACAAAGGCTTAAATATACAGCATCACATCTTACCTTAATGCTAGCAGTGCTACGTTAAACGCTAATTGTAGTGTCAGCTTGCTGACATGCTAAATTAGCTAAACATTAGCATGCTAAGATTAACGCAATCATACATGCTGTTTGCAATGGATCATTAGCATCAAGCTAATAGACGCTATGCAGACCGACAGAACCACCTTTACCAGCATTAACGTGAAGTAATGGGAAGGAACTTTGACCTTAATTCTTTTCTTTCCTTAATTATTTCCAGTCAACTGCATGTAGGAGAGGAACACAGCTTTCAGCGTGGCAGTCTTTCTATTGGCCAGTAGGGGGCGATCTCCTGAGCATTGTCTATTAAGTCTACCAGAAAATGATCCTACATCTTACTTGATTGACCTTGTAGTCTCAAGTCTTCCTTAGTATAACATTATTCTTTGTTCCCACTTAAAGTGGAACAGCAGGAAATTCTTTAGGGCACGGCTACTTAGAGCCACAACAATTTAAGCGTCCAGTGTCCTCAGTTTGTCTCACAGCTTAGCACATTGCTGCCTCCCACTGGTGTTGTACATCAGTGCAGTGTTTGGCATCCCACTGAGTGGGTAGCATTCTGTGTTTGTGTCCCATCAAACAGCATTATAAAGGGAAATCTGTCTAATGTCCAGTTTCCCAAATTCTCCTTTGACCCAGTCACACGGGAACCCACGAGCACATGCAGTGCAGGCTCCAGGAACCCACTGAGTTTCTCTGCTAGCTCCAATCCACTCGCCAGCCTGAATGTCCCGGCGTTAGCCTTGTAAATGTGATGTCATCTTTCTGAGGCCACGTTTACCTGATGCTTCGATGTTGTATAGCTTTCTGCTGTCTGCTTCCCACTCAAGCTGTCACTGATGATTCAGCCTCTTGCTGATGAATCGGTCAGCTCAAAGCACAAAGCGCAGCATCAAAGAGCTGCTCGCATGGCTTTGGGCTCGCCGTTTTGTTTGTTTGTTTAGTATACTCGACACATTCCAGTAAGGCTTGGCTATAGAAATGTGTTTCATCATTAAATGTGTATTTTGGTAACGTCTGGATGTCTTGTACTGTCAGGCAGCGCTCAGAGAGGATGGTTGAAACAGGACCGTTTACAGTCTAATGTGTTAAATCTAATAATTTATTCATGTGGAAATTCTGCCACTGAACATCAGCACAGCTGCTTTGGTTTCCTCTAAAATAAGATCTACATTACATGACCCAAAGTACACATGCTGAAGGTTGGGCTCACCCCTGTGCAGAGTTGTGATGTCCAGCATCATCAGTGCTGTTTTCTGCTGGAGGCTCCTTCCTGCTGTCCTCGTCCTCGTACTCCCTAACATCGTTCACCTCCTTTACTTTCAGCAGCTTCACTACAAACATCACAATGAACTGCACACAACAGGGGAGGTAAACAGGAAATGCAAAGAAATCAGACGGCGTGTCCAAAAATGAAAGACTTTCAGGGTTTGAATGGAACATTTGACAAAACCAGTGTCCTCACCAAGAACCAGTAGATGTTCATGAGAAGCAGGGCGAAGAGAAGCGCATTGAAGAAGAAGTAAAAGGGGATGTGGGGGACGGACTGGAGGCTGGACACACAAGTGGCATACATGACTTTGAGGGGGAACCAGTACAGACGGAACCAGAACCTGAGAGAGACGAAAACGGGAACACAATGTATTACATATCCGCTCGTCTTCAGCGTCTTCCAGACAGAATAATTATAATGCTGTCAAGACTACAAAACGCTTCACCGTGATGGAGAACAAATGGAGAACAAGCAGCTGAGGAAAATAAGCCGATGTTAAATCTCTCACCAAGTGATGCTGAAGCTGACGGAGCCCAAGTTGGACAGCACGTCGTTTAGCAGGTAATAACCTCCTCCTCTGGACTTCAGGTAGACGTTGAGCTTGGTGAACTCCAGCTGGATGTCGTTGATGTCGTGCAGGAATAACACTAGAATCCCGATGTTGTGGTATCTGGAGGGCAGAGAGCACAGACTGTGGCACGAGGATCCTGATAGATGCTGAGCTCGGTGACAAGCAGAAAGCAGACTTGACTTTTACATTTTCTATACATTCACTCTGTTGTCTTTGTTCTTTGGGTCGGTACAATGTGATATTTAGACACACCACATAGCTTTTTATCCTTTTTACCTCAAAACACTGAAGAGGTCAGCGGTCCAATTACAATTCAGTCTTATATATATATATATATATATATATATATATAGCTCCAAATCACAACAAAAGTTGCCCAAAAGCATTTTGTATGGCCTACAACAACACAGAGAAAGCCACAGTAATCATATGAGCCCCTAAGAGCAAGAGCTCTGGCGACAGTGGGAAGGAAAAACTCCCTTTTAACAGGAAGAAGCCTCCAGCAGAGCCAGCCTCGGGGAGGGGCGGGGCCATCTGTAACGTGATAAATGTCATTCCCTCGATGTTGTCAGCAATCGTATTTACAGATTTACTTTTTTCTGATAATTTGCATTTTACTTAAGGCAGTGAACGAACACATCTGCTCTAGTTTCCACTAAACTCTGCCTCCTACCCTCCAGTCAAACTGGTGTTTCGACTAACCAACCAAAACTATACAATCATTCATGAACTGTGATTTTGTGCTTCTGTGTTAGAAAATGAGCTGAAAAACAAAAAGTACCTGAATGCGTAGGAGAAGCTGATGAGCGCCAGCGTGATGATGTGGTGCACCACCATGACAGCAGAGTCCTTCCTCCATGCGTCCATATAGATGGTAGCATAAATGGAGTGGCCGTAGAAGCTGCCCTGGATCAGGTAGGCGATGGCGATGTCTGTAGGCACTGACATACCGCTCTTCCAGTCTGCAGGGACAGATGGGAAATTTTATCCTGCTTGCATAAGAAGGTGTTTTAAGAACACGCTTGTGAATGTAGATAATGAATGATGTACAGTAAAGCATTTTGTTTTTATTCTGGACTTCACTGTTTCCCTTCCTGTCGCCAACGCCGTCTTTAACACAACCATAAATAACAAAGATACTCTGTTTACAGGGCAGCAACACCACACACTGGGCGATACGGGTTTCTAGTCTTAACGAGCTTTTGTGGGGTTTTTTTTGGTAATACTTTTTTGTAACACTTTGTAATTTTAAGCCATTAAACTGTGGTCAACCAAACATGCAGAAAGGCCTCAGCTGACAGTGAGATTCAAATCCAGAGCTCATTAACATCCGTGCACAAGTCAATCATGTGTGCACTTCTTAAAGCCTCTAAAACACATGACTACCTGCCGCTCATCAACATCTTTGTTAATCGATAAATGCACGATGACCTCGGTTTGGATCGAGACGCGCAGTGAAATCAGAACATCTTCCAATAAACACAAAGAGTCGTGCAGCCTCTTGAAGAAGTTCAGCTCTGAACTTCCTCACATGCATCCTATCTACATCCTTCTTCTCATAAGACAGCTTCTGCTCTTTGCACAATTTCTCACAAGATAAAAGGCGAAGAGGCGACTGCGTTGCATTTGTCACTGCGGTGGAACAGAGGCGTGCCTTTCACATCAGGCCCCCAGCTCACGTGATGGAGGCACATGTTTGTCTCTGCCAAAATGTGGTTTAACGCACTGTCGACCATTTATGGCCAAAAATAGAGTCACAGTATCTGTCAGATCAGATTGTGGTGGCGTCTAGATCTCAGAAACATTTACAGTCAAACACCATCAGCATCTGCTGGTAACTGAGTGAAGAATGACTCAGCCACACTGTTTGTGACACATTTCATGAAACAGACGACTGTGGAGGCTTTTTTTTAAACTCTAACTGTGACTGTAACTGTGACTGTAGCTGTAACTGTAACTGTAACCGTGACTGTAACTGTGACTGTAGCTGTAACTGTAACTGTAACCGTGACTGTAACTGTGACTGTAGCTGTAACTGTGACTGTAACTGTGACTGTAACTGTAACTGTAACCGTGACTGTAACTGTAACTGTAGCTGTAACTGTGACTGTAACTGTAACTGTGACTGTAACTGTAACTGTAACCGTGACTGTAACTGTAACTGTAGCTGTAACTGTGACTGTAACTGTAAC